CACCAGGAGTAACACATTAACAACACAACGTATACAGACAGGAACATACATAGGATACTCAGATAGCACCAGGAGGAACACATCATGAGTATGGGATATAGGAGAGTAACAACACAACGTATACAGACAGGAACATACATAGGATACTCAGACAGCACTAGGAGGAACACATCATGAGTATGGGATAAAGGAGATTAACAACACAACGTATACAGACAGGAACATACATAGGATACTCAGACAGCACCAGGAGGAAACACATTAACAACACAACGTATACAGACAGGAACATACATAGGATACTCAGACAGCACCAGGAGAACACACACATGGGATAAAGGAGATTAACAACACAACGTATACAGACAGGAACATACTTAGTATACTCAGACAGCACCAGGAGTAACACATTAACAACACAACGTATACAGACAGGAACATACTTAGTATACTCAGACAGCACCAGGAGTAACACATCATGAGTATCGGATATAGGAGAGTAACAACACAACGTATACAGACAGGAACATACATAGGATACTCAGACAGCACCATGAGTAACACATCATGAGTATCAGATATATGACATTAACAACACAACGTATACAGACAGGAACATACTTAGTATACTCAGACAGCACCAGGAGTAACACATCATGAGTATGGGATAAAGGAGATTAACAATACAACGTATAGACAGGAACATACATAGGATACTCAGACAGCACCAGGACGAACACATCATGAGTATAGGATAAAGGAGATTAACAACACAACGTATACAGACAGAAACATACATAGGATACTCAGACAGCACCAGGAGGAACACATCATGAGTATCAGATATAGGAGAGTAACAACACAACGTATACAGACAGGAACATACGTAGGATACTCAGACAGCACCAGGAGGAACACACATCATGAGTATCAGATATAGGAGAGTAACAACACAACGTATACAGACAGGAACATACGTAGGATACTCAGACAGCACCAGGAGGAACACATCATGAGTATAGCAGATGAAAAGTTTGTTCACCCATTAAAGATGAGAGGTTTGTTCACCCAGTAAAGGTGAGAGGTTTGTTCACCCAGTAAAGGTGAGAGGTTTGTTCACCTATTAAAGATGAGAGGGTTGTTCATCCATTAGATGTGAGAGGTTTTTTCACCCATTAAAGATGAGAGGTTTGTTCACCTATTAAAGATGAGAGGGTTGTTCATCCAGTAAAGGTGAGAGGTTTGTTCACCCATTAAAGTTGATAGGTTTGTTCACCTAATAAAGGTGAGAGGTTTGTTCACCCAGTAAAGGTGAGAGGTTTGCAGCCCGTTTACCCTAATATGTGAGAATTAAAATCTTGTGAATGGCAGATTTCGACATATATGCACGACTATTCCTTCGGTTCATGTAAGGAACGACACAAGGTAGATGACTTTAGAGAACGACACAAGATAGATGACTGCAGAGAACGACACAAGGTAGATGACTTTAGAGAACGACACAAGGTAGATGACTGTAGAGAACGACACAAGGTAGATGACGGTAGAGAACTACTAGGTGTAAATAACCGTTTTTTCTAGCCCTTGATTCCTTTGCAATAATGCTTTTTGTTAGTGTTAAGGTCGACTTTGTTGCTTGTCGGATTCTCTATTTCCACTGATTAAGAAAACTATTTTCATTTTTATTTACTTTTATGTGAGTTCTATTTGCTAGAGAAGATTTATTTTCAGTATATTCTGACCTGTTTGTTGTATGTTCACACTACAAAGTTCACCAACCTCTGCAAATTCCCTTTGAACATATTGTCACTTTGAAATTAAACAAATTTATAGTTTATTTCAAGTCACAATGAATACGACCTTTAAATCGACACTGCCTGAAATCTGAGAGTACTATTTAAAGTCAATCATGGTAGGTTATCAATAAGTCTATCTTAGCACTGGACTTGTCAACACCCCTTGTGAATGCGTCCCCGTAATGTGACAAGTAAAACGATTAAAATAGTACAATGCACTTTGTCCAGTCGATTATAAACGGTACAAAGCCAAACTTTTCTCATATCAATAGACTGGTAAATTAGTATAGGTACTGGAAATTGAAGTGGCTATAAATTTATCATAACAGACAATGTAATACAAATGTACTACTTTTATATAAAGTTACCAGGTTATATTATTATAATGACTAGTTTTTGCGACAACCTCCCCGACACCAAGATCTCCGAAATCAACTCAAATCCACTTCATTTGTTTACTAAGCATTTCTTTTTATATGAACTTGAAGGTAAATATAAATAAGTGGACCTGAATACACAGAATAGCCTGATCTAAACCATACAAACATTCACACAACCACCAAGCATGTTTTGTGGCACACGTTGTTGCTAACTTGTAATGTCTACTCTTGGAGAAATGTATTTTATTCCATGACTACTTGTACATTCTTCTATAACAAAACATTAATATATTCTGGCATTTAGCCTTTAGAAGTTGCTAGGCGCAACATGGCCCAATAGATATTTACATGTAAATATCAGATAGATGAAGACATTACGAAATGACAAATGGAAAATAAATTACCAATACCAAGCGTTAAACAGACTCAGCAGGCTATCAGCCCGCTGTCTTACGGTAATGGGTTTATATCAGATGTGTCGTAGTTTTAGGATTTTTATCAACAACATATTAATATATCAAAATGTATCATGTAATTCACCGCTACCTACAGTTTCGGTGGTAGTTCACCCCTACAGTCTCGGCGGTAGTCCATCCCTACAGTCTCGGTGGTAGCCCACCCCTACAATCTCGGTGGTAGTTCACCCCTACAGTCTCGGTGTTAGCCCACCCCTACAGTCTCGGTGGTAGTCCACCCCTACAGTCTCGATGGTAGCCCACCCCTACAGTCTCGATGGTAGCCCACCCCTACAGCCTCGGTGTTAGCCCACCCCTTCAGTCTCGGTGGTAGTCCATCCCTACAGTCTCGGTGGTAGCCCACCCCTACAGTCTCGTTGGTAGTCCATCCCTACAGTCTCGGTGGTAGCCCACCCCTACAGTCTCGTTGGTAGTCCATCCCTACAGTCTCGGTGTTAGCCCACCCCTACAGTCTCGGTGGTAGTCCACCCCTACAGTCTCGTTGGTAGTCCATCCCTACAGTCTCGTTGGTAGTCCATCCCTACAGTCTCGATGGTAGCCCACCCCTACAGTCTCGATGGTAGCCCATCCCTACAGTCTCGGTGGTAGCCCACCCCTACAGTCTCGGTGGTAGTCCACCCCTACAGTCTCGGTGGTAGTCCACCCCTACAGTCTCGGTGGTAGTCCACCCCTACAGTTTCGGTGGTAGTCCACCCCTACAGTCTCGGTGGTAGTCCACCCCTACAGTCTCGATGGTAGCCCACCCCTACAGTCTCGGTGGTAGTCCATCCCTACAGTCTCGGTGGTAGCCCACCCCTACAGTCTCGGTGGTAGTCCATCCCTACAGTCTCGGTGGTAGCCCACCCCTACAGTCTCGTTGGTAGTCCATCCCTACAGTCTCGGTGGTAGCCCACCCCTACAGCCTCGGTGTTAGGCCACCCCTACAGCCTCGGTGGTAGCCCACCCCTACAGTCTCGGTGGTAGTAGTCTCCAGTCTCGGTGGTAGCCCACCCCTACAGCCTCGGTGGTAGTCCACCCCCCTCGGTGGTACAGTCTCGGTGGTAGCCCACCCTACCGTCTCGGTGGAAGTCCACCCCTACAGTCTCGATGGTAGCCCACCCCTACAGTCTCGGTGGTAGCGCACCCCTACAGTCTCGGTGGTAGCCCATCCCTACAGTCTCGGTGGTAGCCCACCCCTACAGTCTCGGTGGTAGCCCACCCCTACAGTCTCGGTGGTAGCCCACCCCTACAGTCTCGGTGGTAGCCCACCCCTACAGTCTCGGTGGTAGTCCACCCCTACAGTCTCGGTGGTAGTCCACCCCTACAGTCTCGGTGGTAGCCCACCCCTACAGTCTCGGTGGTAGCCCACCCCTACAGTCTCGGTGGTAGTCCACCCCTACAGTCTCGGTGGTAGTCCATCCCTACAGTCTCGGTGGTAGCCCACCCCTACAGTCTCGTTGGTAGTCCATCCCTACAGTCTCGGTGGTAGCCCACCTCTACAGCCTCGGTGTTAGCCCACCCCTACAGCCTCGGTGTTAGCCCACCCCTACAGTCTCGGTGGTAGCCCACCCTACCGTCTCGGTGGTAGTCCACCCCTACAGTCTCGGTGGTAGTCCACCCCTACAGTCTCGGTGGTAGTCCACCCCTACAGTTTCGGTGATAGTTAAAACGAAACGTGATAATATAACGTAACCTAAACGACTTCATCCCATATTACTTATTGGTTTTTATGTTGTATTTGTTATTATTAAATCTAAAATATTTTACATGTCTTCTTTCCAGATTTTAACTGACAAATTTTGTGATAAAATCACAGTTGATTTGTCCAGTGATTAGTAAATAATAAAAGAGTCAACTACCGTTATACAAATACCCTGATAACCAAGTAAGAATCACACGCCATGGCAACCAATGGAGGGATTCGAACCTGGAGTAATAGTGCTCTACACCACAAGATACACCTGTCACCATGGTATGACATATTACCGTCATTATAAGAGGCGGGCCGTAGTTACACAATAGTTTTGTGGTATCACGCGGCTCCTATGCAATAAATATTCACGTGTGAAATATCCATCTTACCGTTTGCCATTTATAAAAGTAAATGCGTGTTTCTCTGTTTTTTACATCAACTGTTCCATAGAAGTTTAATATGACGTAAAATTCTCCAATAGGATTCTCTAGTTCGAATGTACTCTTCTATGAGTAAAGACTTTAAGTACACAAATCGTTAGAACACAATCATCTTGAGAATACAGAAAATCAATATAGACAATTGTGTACCTGTCAACACAGCCCAATGATTCCATAGGGCACGATCCTGCTGGTTGCTGACTTGGCCCAGCTCACAGATTCCTTACAGTACTTACCTGTATCAGTTGTAGGACCCTAGTGTTAGTTTCCGACACATCCACTCCGTGGATACTTTCCAGGTGGGTGGAATAGTTTCTTTTGCGTAGGTAGCGAGGATAGGGATGTTTGCGCCTGTCCTGTCTCATGATACCAACACCCAGGGCAGGCATTGTTTCCCCAATCTACCAGCTTATAGTGATGTAACTATAGGGTACGCCGAACATCATTTGACGTGTCCATAAACAGTCCACATTTGGTGAAATACACCGATTCGTGCGGTGATCTGCCTTTTCTCCCTTGTCAATTACTGCGACTAGACTTTTGTATCATCTGCTATTGAAACAAAACCTTCCAAGTACATACGAGATGTATTATAATGTGTTCGTTTCCCGATCATCGATCCCAAATATCTCTTCTTGAATTGCGTGCCTCCTTGCTTCTAATTCTATATCATATACCACAAATCATTACCCGACTTCCGTTTCCGTTGAAAAAATATAAATTATATTAAAAGTATATATATATATTATCCAAGATTCTGAATATAAAATATTATTGTTTGTACAAGAAATTAAATGAACACAAACGTATAATCAATTCTGTTGACATGGATGGTTATCCGTCTGAAGACACGTTTCCAAGGCTCCTTCTTCTGAACAGGACGAATGATGTCTCACGGAAATCTGAGACAAGGAGTCTTTTCACACGGAAACACCGAAAACTAAACAGTGCCTTGAAAACTTGGATACGCTTCGCACATTAACGCGTCAATAGATTTTTCCCAATTACTCCACTGTCCCGGCGACAAAAAACTCCATAAAAACTTCTTAATGTGTTCGTACCTAACGCTATAACGTGAACCTTTGGATTAAAAACCGTCCGCCCAAGGAGAGTGAAACCTCCGTGTCGAGGTGCGAGAGGCGGCTTCTGTACTATCCCTGTTTGGACAGAAGGTCTGTTGTTATCAACATGGGCGACAGACGAGGGGTCCCTATGTACAGTGAGCTTCTTAAAACGTCATAACCTTCTCTCCAAGGTAAAGCGAGAAGCTTTCACAAAATCATATATGTCAATATTTAACTTTTATGTACATTCCGTGGTATAAACTGTATATGTACATATATACTTGAAGGAGAATACTTTTATCCAAACGTACGCCGATATTAATCCTGGTGGAGGAAAGTTTAAGTGGAATCACCCAGCTGATTTGGAGGAGATATGTATATGGCATTCGTGCGACACCCCGTGCTATCCATTGATAACCAAACCGTCAGTATAAGTGTTGTTTCTGTGTAGTCGTCAACATACATTAGTAGACCAACACCTTACACTGAGGTCAAAACTTTTTCATTTATGCAGTTGAAGCTTTAAATAGAACAGGAAAGTATTATGATTGATAAAAATTCGTGATCCCGTCTTATTTGTTTGGGCTGAATACATCTTACATGTTTAACTAAACCAGACCATTATCGCTTAATGGTCGATCAGTTTTCTATAATCCTAAATATCATCAATACGGACAGCTGTATAATTCGGCTTTGGCGAAATAGAGAAAATTTATTATCAATGTCATTAAAATATATAATGTTCTCTAATTGTTCAAGCAAATAATCAAAATATATGTTTAATTCATTGCTATGTTGATTTCTTTATAAAGCAAGAAGAAAATACACGAAGGTGTCTGTATAATTACAATACATGTTATCTATTATAGTGTTGGACTAACAACAATGGCTCTGTAGAAATTGTCACTTGTAATGTTTGTTATTGGTTACCACTATTCTATAACCCATGTTTGTGTAAACTCATGAATACAGTTAAGGATAAACACTACCCACATATCTATCGAAAAGCAATTAAATCGCCACGGAGTGTGACAGGTAATTACAGTATTCTGATAATTAGCCGTCACTTTAAGGATCCCAAGGTTTCACAACATCGTGCTACCACACCAGTAAAGGAACGTATAACCATAGGCGATTAATTTCGTCATAGTTTCTGTAATTTTCTTTATAAACTGTTTTTTTTTATAAAACTCAACAGAACTCCTATTTGATATGTCGTTGTAAAACCAGATCAGATCCGAAAACAGTTTAGCATGTGTGTAAATAGATTTTAATCGAACACCGTTTCTGAAGAATTTGTTTACCTGTTTTAATGAGGAACAACATTGATAATACACAACAAGACAACCGGACAGCAATCTAAGTATTGTGAAGATATCATTCTTGAAAATCTGAACATCGACTAAGTTCAAAATCTGAACGATAATCCACCGTTCCTTTCTAAGGCGAATTTTTTGTTTCCCACATTTCCAATGACACAATGATCCGGGACGGCATGCAATTGACCTATTCAATAATGTGCTCTTGTTAATATGCTCCTCCGCGTGCCCATAGTAACATCACTACTGTCTAGGCTCAGCATAGACTGATGGTCTTTATAGTGAACTGTTCAGTTATTTTGACCCCGAAATACAATAGCATCCGAACTACTGTGATGGTGTTAGTGACCAAACCTCAAGCTGAATCTACAACTAATTAAACAATTAATGACAATGTGCTGCAAAATGTCATCCACTTCCTCAGGATTCCTCTGGAACCAACGTTATGGCAGCATTATCCGATTTATAATTGTTGTCATACCCATCACCATTAAAAACTTTTCTACATCTATAAATCACTGAATCCCTGGTAAATTTCAGTGCCATTGAACATTTTCTATATCCCTAAATCATTTGATATATGCAAAAATACCACGGTCGACAAAAACATTTTCAACACTTCTAAACCATGGAATATATGCAAAATGTTCACGATTGTCAGAAAAAAAATGTTCTGCACCCTAAAACTATGAAACCGCTAAAACGTTTCACGGTCATTAAAAATATTTTCTACACCACTTGATCAAAGAATCACTGAAAATATTTCACGGTAATTAAAGATATTTTCTACATCCCTAAATCATGGAATTGCTGCAAATATTTCACGGTCGTTTAAAGTTTTCTTCTACATCCCTAACCGCTGGACCATTGCACCCATCCCACGGTCATTTAAAGCTGTTCCTTTGTCCCTACTAAATCATTCATTTGTCTACGTCTTATAATGAATAGAACGTATAATTTGATAGTCAGGGAATGCTGTTGTCTTAATACGCTTATATTTGATTAAGGAAACGGAACCATTTTGTGAGAGTAAAGTCCAAGAAGGACAAACCAGCTTTGTGGTACAGTTTAATTCCTTGTTTGGATCTATGGTATCACCTGTGTATGTTGTATAACATTTATATATACATTTGTAATCTGCCTTGACCAGCTGAAGACATAAGTTGTTCCATCACTGAAACATGCTAAGTGAGACTCCTCCACTGAAGGTGATTTGTCCAAGCTGAAAGTATGTGAAATGGAACTCCCCACTGGATACGAATTCAGTGGCGATAACATTGCCACGGTATGTAGGTGGAACATGATTCTAATAAAGTTTAACCCGCTAAATTTATATATTTAAAGACTTTTGAATCAAAATTCAGTCAACCATGAAATTGATTTTCACTGTTAATTAAGCAGCAGTAAAATCCTATATTTATAGCAAACCTTTTATCCATCGTCAATACAACCATTTTATTATATTTCCTGTGGACAGAGATGGAAATACACACAGATCAAAGCATTGATCAGGTTCGATGAAGAGTATAACGTTGTTTTCTACCATATACATTTTCTGAAGGAGGCATACAAAAGTAGTCTCGCTGGCGTGTCTAGGCAAGTGGCTCTATTCTAGTGAACGGACATTAGACTTTTAACAGGTTTAAAGTTGAATAGCGAATATTTCATATACTTTATTGAAATGCATGTAAATTATTCATATCAAAACTGTGTTTTATAATAAATCTTCTTTTTAGTTAGAGTTACAGTTTTGTCAAATAACTAATTAAATTACATCATACGGCTGTTACATCATTCAAGGGGTCGTTAGTGATGTCAAAGCCTTGAGATCTATAATGTAAATTAGTAAAATCGAAATAGGTTGATAAGACGTCAGAGTCGAGATAGGAAGGGACACTAACCCTACAGATTCTATTAACCCCAGTTTGAATTCCTTACGTTCTTCCTGATTTAAATATCCGTGTAATTATTACACTGCATGGTATCTTCACCGGCTACAACAAATTGATATAGTAATTGTATACAAAACACAACAGTTGCACATCATATTTTGGGCACATATTACACCAATAAACACCGTAATAGGAGAGTGCAATAGTCACGTGGTTATTTCATCAATATCGAAATAAGGCAACTATCACATTTTGTCAGATAACTATACCGTCAAATATCAAGAAGTTTCTGCTCTACTCAAAGGTGTGACATATATATTTTTCCTAAATGTTTTGATACCATCTTAACTTATACATTAACAGAGGTTGCCTCCCTTCTCGTTTTCTTCGTTGGGTCGTTGAGTAGGTTGGATTTATGGTCACCATACAGGTGTGGCCATATATACAGGAGAACGGTTAATAATTCAAGTCTAAATTATGAGTCGTACCAACCCTACAACATACAGAATGAGTAGTATTCTCCCATGTACATATAATTTATATTTAATATATAACTATACAGTAATATGAACGTGCTTTCACATGTTGTTGAAGCCTTTTCTCAGGCAATAAATATGTGCATAATTATGTTTTTATTGAATTACAAGTGCCACTTACTTATTCCCGTTAAAATCACGTATGTTTGTACTTGTAAAGGAGCCCTCTCCTATACTCAGGCAACTTTATAATGGCTAGGCATGGTGTTCTTTATTTCACTTTTCAGTTACAATGGTTTGAATCCAGCGTGTTTAAGTCACCGAAAGTTCATTAATATACACAATCAATGTATACACGACTAGGGATGTTGAATAATGATTTTATTTCACCCACAAAGAGGTAGAGCTTTGACATTCATTGTACTGCATGTATTGTGGTACGGCAAACATTGAACACGAAGTGATAAATACATTTTGATGAAAATCTAAATGTAAAATAAACCTTTAACTGAGAATAGTTCGCGAATATGTTAAATCTTCTCTGTTCAGAGCACTGCTACCTCGGTTGTAAAACTATGTGAAACCTTACCGCAAGCGTTTATCTACAGTACAGAGATGTTTCATATATGTTAAAGCTG